ATCAATTTCTAAAAGAACAGCAATATAATTTCTTTACATACATATGTTTTCATTATCAGATTTCCCTCTTAGGTCAGTGAGTGAACTATATTCTGTTTATGTTCTACTTTTAATATTCCTTTTACATATATATATAAATTATGATCCAATAAATTTTTACATGAAATTCTAGATTTATCTAAATAATTTTATTAAAATATTGATTTGGCTATTTGAATTCTCAAACACATCAGTACTTTTAATATATGAGCTATTTTAAAATCTTAGTGAAAAGAAGCAGTCATACAGCTCCCACTTTCAAAATCTATGTTTAGCAAGTCAAAAAATGTGGCTTTTGGGGGCTTTTAGTTCCTGTTTTAGTTGAATGAAACTCCTCTAATACAAACACTCTAATGTTAATAGGGAACTTTCTGAACATTTCCCTTTGGTTTTCCCCCTTAAGACATTTATAAATAGCAAATATTACATATTGAAAAAAGTATTCTATTGTTATCAATGAAATCTTGGTAGGGGAAAAAAAACCTATTTAATAGTGTATAGAGATAAAAAAAATCCCCAAGAAGTCTCAGAGGAAAATCAGGAACTGTATCTTGAAAATGTAGTAAAAAGAAGTCTTTTCTCATTTTTACATGTGAAAAGAATATAATGTTATACTAAAGTCTATCATAGGAATTCTGTTTTCCACCTGTCAATATTGAATATCATTACATGCAAGAAAATATGAAGCATAAGATATTGACATTTTTTATGTGTGATAAATTTTAATTCTTTACTGTGGATGGAATGTTTTTGATGCAGCATGAAAGATAAAGCAGTAGTTGTCAAAAGTTTAAATTGTACAAGTCTGCAATGCCTCAAATGTTTGTTGTAAGACCCATTAGATATAGTGTTTCCTTGAGGCTTAAACAAATGTTAGGTTTTGTTGTGTGCTGGCCAGAAAGAATGTTTTATCGACCAGTTAGAAAATCGACTGATGAGATCACATGAGTTATGAAGCATTGTGAAGCATTGTGTGGAGCCCTTGACCATTAGTGACACTAAAAGAGCATGAATAAAAAAATAAAATCAGACAGAAAATAAAATAAATCCAGCAAGAGGAAATAGCATTGTTCCAACAGTCAAACACTAAAACAAAGTAAGACAAGTTTTGGAAACAAATCAAAACTGATGTAGGAAAAATGAGAAACACAAACACATTGAATGAAACATTCATAAGTTTGTTTGAACACACTAGGGAGCCCTGTGAGGTTTATAATTCATTTCAGTGAGGGTAGAATTAAAATTAAAGACAGGATTTTAGATGCACTAAGACATTTCATTTGCTAACTGCCAGAACTTAAGCACCATACTAATATTAAAAGTAACTGCTCTCCTTTCCTGTCTGAGCTGCCTTTAGAAACTTAGAGGCAACATCTTTCCTGCTTTAGACATCTGAGATGAATAGACAAGTATCAGGGTAGTTACCAGAAGCATTTCATAGGTTTCTTTTACAGTAAATAAAATAAAGTAGTAAAATAAAGTAAGTAAAATAAAAACAAACAATCAACCAACCAAATGAAGAAACAAACAAAATAAACCAAAAGAAACCCAACAAAACAAAGAAAAAACCCAAAACCAATCAACCAGCCAAACAAAAAAACCCGCCAAAAACCCCAACTGTCAAGCATTTGGAGAGTAGTCAAGATACAGTAATCAGACATCCAAGAGATACAGTTAAGTCTGAATTTACACTTCTCTGAAGTATGTGGTCTAACTAAAGGTGACACACTGGGCATCTCCACCCTTCCACTCTTAAAATTTCACTCAAAAGATATGTAGACACTGTAGTGTAGTTGAGTCTTTTCAAAATTATTACATTCAGGAGTAATGGAGTGAAGCTGATCCTGAAAAAGTAGAGAAGAGAGGGGTTGATTTAATGCTGATTTTTTTACCTACTTCTACTTGAAACAGTGATTAAATATTTAACAGGCAATAAATTGTTTGTTTTGCAAAAAATTGTGGGTTTTTTTCCCTAGATAATAATTAATAGCAAACTTCTTGTGTTTATATCCACCTTTGCTTTACCATTTTTGTTCTTACTATTTTCTACCCCAATCCCGTTGAAAGATGAGTGAGCAAGTGGTTGAATAGAAACTCAGATTTCATCAAGGCTAACCCATCATAAACAAGTAAATATAAAAATACCATTGTTATTTTTCACAGATATATTCATTGAAAGCAGAAAAAATATATTTAATACATATATAATTTATTTTTATCTTCTCCCTTCCAGATTATCTCTGAGTTTATTCAGTTCATTAACAGATTGTGGCAAAGAGATGACAGATTTAATTTTGTTACTTTCCCTCACTTTCATAGTATTTTCTTCAATTTAACACCTCTTATTTTTAATACATTTAATTGAACTTAAATATTTACAAAACAAATCAGGTGATTTGAGACATGGAAAAACAATTTGTTTCTCTTTAGAGCTAATGTTGTTTTACAGTTACAGCAAATACCTTACTCTTAACCCATCCAAAAAACCCCAAGTAAACTTCACATTTTTTTCCACTATCTATATGCCTGCCACTTAGTCAATATTTTTTCTAAAAGATTTCAGAATTCATCAGAATAGTCTTGTTGAATATGTGGAATTTAGTAAATAGTAGGAATGTCATATGTTGATTAATATACTATGCACAAAATTAATTTACTTTTTCTGTTGGGCAACGTTGTCCTTTATTAGTAGCGAGCAGTTAGAGCAAAAAAAAATACAATTTCTTTTTTAAAGTGTACAATGTTGCAAATTATATTAGATTCAGCTCTTTTGTTTCACATTGGGGAAGAAATATGAAAAGATAGTGACTACATTAAACAGTTTCAGTTTGAATTAATGGATGAGTCCTTCAGTAGGTAAAAAATGTAAATTTGAGGGGAAGTGCTAAACATGCTAGAGTTTTCTAATCTAGATACTGTCTCCAAAGGAGGAAATATTCTATATGTCCTTGCATATATCATAGTCTAATGAATATTTGGTATACCTCAGTGGTCTAAAAAGTGAACAATATGTCTCAGTTATGTTGTAAAGAGAAAAACAGTAATCCAGACAGACTTTTTCCCTAAAACTTGATTTTATGTTGTCTTTTCACTTAGTCACCACAGCTAAATTTTAAAATTATCTCGTATATTAAAGGTATCTTAAATATAAATACATGCATCTAGATATGCATTATCATTTTTTAAAGGTTGTCTATGAAGGTGAAAAGTAACATACAGGATATTCAAGAGAGAGGAAAAAATCAAGCTGTGAAAAGCATAGTTTTATATGCATACAAGATTCCAATATATGCTATCTTCAGACAAAGATATGGAGAGGAAACCAGATAAGCTACTCACTACCTTACTATAGACCTTTTGATTAGGATCATATTAAGATAAACCTAAGATGGTTTTACAGTTCTTGGAGTTAGGTTTGCTCCCATCTGTCCAGTTCCACAGGTAGAGAATCTGGAAATTGTCTGAAAGTTCATGTCAGCATCTCTGACAGGATATATCTTGGGTCCTGTAAATAACTTCATAAGAAGAAAACTGTTCACTTCTCCATTTAAAAGCATTTTATTTCCTAAAAGCCTCATTCTAAAATAATCAATGGTCAGGTGGGACAGTATGGAATCCTCTGAGCTTCTGTTTTTCCTATTTTTCCTATATACTACTTGAACTTGCCAAAAGCAGCTGTCTTGTCCACAAGATCTACCACAGCTCATGTGTATAGACCAGAAAAGAAGATGTGAAAATTTCCTGAAAAAGCTTTTGCTTTCTTGGGTATGTTGGGGTAAATAGCAGCCTTTTAGTTGACATTTATTTTTTGCAGTACATTTTTTGTTCATTGAAAGAGAAAAAATTGATATAATATGGCTATGATGACCAACCATAATGCAAACCCAAATATACATTTGGAAAAGACAAAGTTTACAGTTCTCATCAATTAGAAATGGGCTTATACTAAATAGATAACTTAATTCTCAGAACCTAATTTATCTAGCTGTAATGTAGATGACTTGAAAATACTTCCATTATTCTCATTTTCAAGAATTATATGCAAGGAAAATGTATGAAACTGAAGTGAGTCAGTACTACACTCCTAAACAAGTCAGTTTCTCAAATTGGGCTACATAATTTCTTCTCTTTCATGTTATCTATTCTTCAGGCATTTATTTTATTCTGTGAGCTTTGCCTCATTTTTTCCTTGATCACTGTAGCAATAAAAATTTGTTTTCCTCTCACACTAGAAAAAGAGTAGTATTTGGATATTAGATGAGAAGAAAGTTCTAATGAATGTTTGCTGAGAGCTCCTGTCCTACTCTTTGCAGAAAGTGGGTTAAGTACTTCCACTTGATCTGGATTCTTTACCAGGTGAAAGCAAGCTTTCACATTCACATGTAGGAATGTCCACATTCCTACATTTTGGGAAGAGAGCTGACACTTCCTTTCTCCATGGTGCCATGCTTTGCTTCCCATCCATATTGCTGATGAAGTACATCCAGGACAGCAGCTGGCACTTTTATTCAGGGTTTATTAATTTCTCATCAAACACCACTTCCCATATTTTATTTTTTTTTGCACAGGCCATATTACACTACTCTAAGGGAGATTAGCTTCTGTTCCACCTGTTTACCCCTTGAGACCACACCTCAGGGCTCATTCTACCCCTACAGCTCTCACCTCCCAGCATTTCAGCAACCACGTGACCAATCCTTCCTCTCTTTGCAGTTTGTGGGGGACTGGAAAGATTGATGTCTTGAGACATGTTGTGTGTGGGGAAAGGGTCAGGTTGTTCTGGTGAGGAAGTGTCCTGCTCCACACCCTCATCCCTAGAGCCTGTATCCCAGCGCAACAATTCCAGAGGTAATGCTCCACACCTGCCCCAGGAGCTCCTGTCCCAGCTCCTGAGTTGCCAAATGACCGGAAATCCCACCTGGGGGAAGAGCTGAGGGGTATTTAGATCTGAGCATGAGATAAGCATATGTTTTGATCCTTTCTTCCCTGGGGATTTCTCTTAGCCTAACACTGCTGGAACCCAGGATTCGGTAGCTACATGTGTCCTTGGCTGTATATTTGCTGACTTTTTTCTTCTTTGAATTACTTCTTGGGATTTTTGAGTAACTTAAAATCAAATGGGCTTAAAGTTTGCCAAATTAATGCTTCGAGAAGTGTTTTATGTTGAGTGAGTTTTGCAAAGCTTTCGGATTTTCTAAAGTTGCCAGCAAAGCCTTTTTTGTTGTTTTGCTCTCTAGAGAATATCTTGTTGGTGTTTCTCCTGTGCCTCTTACTCAGAGTATGTAAACAGCCACTGTTGAAATTGTTAGAAGTCTCATTGAGTGAGTTTTTTTGGGCCTTACATGCTCCTTCCCAGATTGTGTAATGCCAGCAGGATACAGGAGCAGGGGCTGAGGTATCACTGAAGCCTCTCAGGCTCCATGGCAGGAGCTATACTCCCACAGCCACATGCCTTGGACAGCCTTGGATACAGCCCTATTTGCCTTCTCCTCTCCTCGCTCTGCTTTAGTAACTGGGATTAAGCTGCTTATGCTGGAAGGCAATAAAGCCTCCTCATCATCACTGGAGGAGGAAGAAGTCTGTGCATCCCCACACAGGACCTCTGGTTCTCAGTGGGAACATTTCAATTATTTGGTTTTTTTTCCAACTACCCTTCTCTTTCTCCAGTTTCTGTACCTTTTTTCCATAAAAAAACAGCATAAAAAGGAACAAGTCGACAACCATGCCTCCTATTAGGGAATCAGGGAGCTTTTATTTCTTATCCTATCCTTACTTTATTGCCTAAATATTTTGCCAAGTCTCATCCCACACACTCATAATTTAGGATTTGGGATTTAACAACAAACCTGACCAAAGCCTGCCACAAGGACATCCCTTGCTGCACCAAGCCTTTGTTGAGGGCAGTAACTGCTGCAGTTACAAATCACTGTCCTTGACACCCACAGAACTCCTACTACAGTTAACTTTGCCCTGAGATATTGGTATCCCATTGCTGATGGTAAAATTCACTACTGATTTAAAAGATTTAAAGGAACTTTTTTTGACCGAGAGAGATGTCACAGGGAGTAAGTTTGGGTGAACCCACATTGGTAGTCCCATCCATACAGCGCTGTTTGCTGGGTTGTGAGATTTGCTGTACGTTTCTGTGAGGTAGTAGGATTGCCTACTATGCAATGTTCTTGATCACCTTATGGGTCCATGTTCTTACTATTATTATTGTTATTAGGTAAAAGTGGAAATGTGTTTCCTACACTTTATTTTTGTATCCTAGTGGGTAATTATTTTGGCTGAGCTTTAAATCTCAAATACTCTTTAGTTCAAAAGAATTGGGGTTACTTACTAAATGCACCATCTGTAAGTAGAGAGCTACAACATGTTGCTTTCCCCTGAGCATAGTTTGGATTCTTATTTGCTGAATTTGAAAGTGCTTCCCTTATAACCCTCTGGCTGACTGTAGCTAATGAAACAAACTAGGAAAATAAAAAAGCTCTTTTTTTATGCTAAAATTTTGCTGCAGCTGTGCGAGGTATCATCTGGTTAATGATACTAACTGAACTACAGCGTTTTAAAAATCAGGGTGAAAATTGTATTGTTCAAGCCTGCACATTCTTACTGCTGAAATATCCAACTTTTCAGATGCCATATCTTGCAGTACTTAGTTAATAAAAATTGCTAATGTATATCAAGATAGAACTAGAAATGGGAAATAAACCGAGGTAATCAATGACAGAATTAAAAGAACAGAAACTAAGTGTAAACAAAATGAAAAAAAAGTGATAAATATATATAAAAAACCCTGTCTGAATATAATTGGATTTGATGGACAGTTGTATTGTTACTATATTTCAATAATAAATATTTAAATATTTTTTCTGTGTTATATTGATTTATATGTAAAATGTGCTAACATAAATATTCAAGACTTTCTTTCCTTTAACCTAGATTTATCATTTTCAGCTGCTGAGGGAGAAATTGTATATGGAAGTGTGATATTGCTATCATCATCAGAGTAACAAATCAGACAGCTTCCTTCCTTAGTCTAAAACTGAGCTACATGTTTCAGTGATGAAAAATTCTGTTGAATTTATTACAAAATTGAATGTGCTCTGTGGTATTCTTTGATTGTGCTTCATTGTGCAGTTGTATTGAAATTTAATTATGACAATAATTCAATTGCTGGTAAATTCTTAGATGACAGCAGGTCAGCTAGAAGGAACTGGAAATTTTCACTTCAGCAGTTGCATAGTTAAATCAAGATTAAAAGAGAAACAAAGAGGGACTGATGAAATAATTAGTAAATTGAAGCATAAAAATTATTTACAGAATAAATTTATTTTCTCGAATAAATTAGCATTTTCTTACACATATAATAATTTGGCCTAGACATTGTATTTTAAATTTTTTTGTATAAGATTAATATCAGTCTTATTTTTGCCCTGGGTATTGTTCTACCCTGGGTGCTGTTTGGAAACCTGTGAAAAGTGCCTACAGCGTTTTGAACCAATTACAGAACTGCCCCAGCTGGGGAAGAGAATTTGCTCTGTTTCACAGATGAGACTTAATGTAGGATGCTAATGGCTACAGAGAAACTAACTTGATTTATAATCCCCAATTAAATCTCCCTCTGTAGCAGTTAATTAAGAAAAAGGCAACTTCAAATTATTCTCATTCTAACTTATAGAAATCATACACAGAATAAAGAAAACAATAATTATTTAAAAAACTATACACGGAATATACTGTTGGATTCTCATGTGTGAATTTAAAGTGAGTGAAAGATGTGACCTTTTTTAGAGAAGGGAAACTTCCAAAGGACTGGTGGAATGGCCACCCTTTCTTTTTGTCGAAGCATTTCCTGCCCTAAACCAGGACAGCATCATTCAAGTTGCACCAGTCTTGCAATGAATAAAAAAGACTAATAAACTGTAGATTGGGAAATACAAGAAAAGGAAAACCAATGTTTAGTGAAATCTCAACCATTACAGTAAAACTGAGTTTCTAGATATGAATTCTGAAGCACACATGCATTGTTGGACCCATCCATTCTATTACAATGTTACAGATTTTTATAAAACAAACAAGCAAAAAAAAGTTTACAAATATTATTTTAAAATAAGGTTTTTAGTAAAAAGTCCAAAAGTTTCCCAGTAAACTTGCACAATTTTGGGAGCTCCCTATATGCTGAATAACAGCAGCTTTTAGTCTGACCTACATTACTATTTTGGGTACTTGTAGTGAATGCTGAATATTATTATTGAAGTTTAGGACAAAGCCATTCTCTTAAATTCGGGCTATTGTCTCCCTTTATACATATACACAAAAGCAAAGTATTCAGTGATGAATTGCACATTTCACTTAAATATCTGCCCTTTTAATATTATCTCTTCCTTATCACTTCAGCTCAGACCATCACTCTGGTATCTGGAAAACAGGCTAATCTAATGATTTATGTTAAATACCTGCTCTAAAATAATGAAACTCTTGATGATAAAATGAAATGGTAGACAAGTTTTGTGATACACTGACAACTTTTCCACCATAGCTTATTATGTATATTTCTTATAATTGAAGAAAGCATTTTTGTAATGAAATATTTCTTTGCCACCTAATTGTCAGTGGATGTTTATTTAGTCTTCTTTTTTTTAATTTTGTATGACTTCAAAAAAGATATAGTTTTACAGCAATTAATAAATCTATGAAATCATAAAAAAATAGATATATCTAATTAGAACAATATATTTGATCAAAAATTAAGTCAGTTAGATGAGACTGGATTAAATACAACACACATTTAACAAAGATAGATCGTGTCCAGTTTAACTACTACATTCTTAGAATAATTGATTTATTTCGCAGTAGTAAAATATTCTTGATCTAATCTTTGTAGACATAGATAAAGACCTTGGTACACTGCCACATTACTAGGAAAGCTGTGGAATGTAAAGATTTTTTTTTTTTAAAAAAGCAATTTGCTCAAAGGGGAAGATGCAGTTGATAATGATGAAAGGTGACCACGAGTTTCTTTGTTCAGGAAGAGGTTCCTCAACAGCCTTATTTAATATTTTCACCAATGATTTTTAGTAAAATAAGGCTTTGAAATTATTAAAATTGCTGGCAGACAATAAGGAAGCAGTAATACTTTGGATGATTGGAATGATGTTGAGAACCTAATTTATTAAGTGGGATTGCATTTTTATCCAGAAATGTAGGTCACACACTTTGGCATCTAAAGAAGTGCTTCTGATACCATATGGAGCCTCTTCATTTAAGAAAGAGAAGAAAAATTGAAGAATGTAGTTATGTGTGTAAATCTTCCAGGGGATGACTGTAGGTAATGGTATGACATGGCTGGGAAAACAGTGAAGACATCCTCAGAGTGTATCAGGTAAGAAATCTATACTGAACAGAGCTTTAGCCATCAATCTAGCCAACCCTACTGGTCTGTTCACCAAAGAATAGAAAATTGTTGTATTAGAAATCGCTGTGCACTTGTGTGTCAGGAAAATCTGTGAAAATGAAGTTCCCTCCATGAAGCATTGAGATATAGCAAGATCCATGTATGTATGTAACGTGCAATAGTTTTTATTTGCATCAGCTAGCATATAAAATAAAAATCAATGGAAATCTTTGATTAAGAGTATTTATGGGAAATAATTATGTTCTGAGGCTTTGTGGAAGTTACAGTATCTATATCATATCTAAGACCTTATTAAGATTTACAATCATTTAGTGGTTTAGTGGTCAAGAGCACTTGATTTTTTTTTTATCAGTTTAATGACTGAATGCAACACAATGGCTTTTCAATGTATTGGTGCATTTTACATAAGTTTTTTCTTGTAACAATCAAATTTTTTTCAGATGACCTTTAAAGGAGCCAACTTTCTTTTTAGAAAGTTTCTTTTTCTGCCTCCTGTGGTTGAGAAGTCCCTCATTTAGTGTAACTATGATTATCAAGCAAATTAATTTTTTTTCTTTGATTAAATGAATAGAAATTATATAGAAATACAGAAAATAATTCATTATCGTTGTTAATTGGAACATCATAGAAAGTGAACTGTTTAGAACCACCACCCATTTCTGTTCTAGTCTTTGAATTGATTCCTTTTTCTCTATAGCTCTTCCTATTCTTAACTTATTATAGCAATTATTTTGATTTTCTTCATTATAGACAGTAACAAAATATTACAGTTTTGTAGACAATTGATAGATGACATAAAACATTTCCTATTCTGAATATAGATAAATGTTGTATATTTTAGCACATTTACATGTATAAATATATTATATTTCTCTGCCTCTAAATAACACCTTCCCTTGTGACATTGTAAGATTCTTCTTTACCCAAGGCATTGTAATCTGTGTCTTCTCCTATCTTATTTATGGTGTGAAAATCTTCAGAATTGAGGTAATATGTCAGGTTTGACCCATTAAAATTTACCATATACAGTAATTGTTTCTGTAGAAAAATTCCAATCTTCCTTCCTCGGGCATCCCTTTAAATTTTCTTCTTAGTCTACATCTTCCTAGATTATTTTACCCTGTAATACAACTAGCATTACCTGGAGCTAAGAAAATCAGTGATTCCCAATCTATGATGAAATGCATAATTTTGAAATTGTTTATTTTTTACTGTGTGTATTCATAGATGAGTAAGTAAGATTTGGTTGTCAGAAATATATATTTATAAAAGATGGGCAATAATAAAATCTATCCTCTGATGTTTATACATGAAATTATAGGAGGTGTCATTTCCAGACTGCTTATTTGTTCATTTTGTCACAGCTTGGACCTCAAATGCAGTTTAATATGGAGCCTGAAGCTTATTTGCTTTTGAGTTCTTTGAATTGCCAGTAATGTTTCAGAGATGAAACTCCCTATAAAACCCAGTTTGGCTGCATTATTTGATTTTTAGTGATTTCTTAGGGTTTTTTTTAAATTATTATTTCAATAGAGAACAACTGTGATTTCCAACATCTGGAAACATACTTGTTTAGTTTTGTACCTGGTGCACACTCCCTGCCTCCTTGGAGATGCCTACACTCCATGCCAATGGAGGGATGCAACTCAGTGGTGCAATCTTGTCTCAGATTATTTTGTGAGAAAGAAATGGAGAAAAACTCATGAGGGAGGATCTGCTTCATTTTGCTTCATCTGTATCTCTCTCCCTTACCCCAGAGCTATGTCACAGCCCTGCCCTTGCCCAGCCACATCTCTGCTGATCCTGACCTTGGTCCCCACTTTCTACCTTGACTTCTGGAATGAGCAGCCATAAAATTGTTCTAGTTAGATAGGAAAAGTTACTGAGGATAAAGAAAAATACTGACAGCTTTCACAGGATGCTGGGCTGCCTTGGGGATTCCCCTGCCCTCCCAGAGGGGCTGGAAGCCCCTGCCCCTTCCCTTATAGAACAGGTAGGTCTTGCTGCTCCTAAACCATTTAGTTTGATTATATTTGGTTAAGAATTGCTCTCATGCTAAATGAATATTGCGGCGGGAATGATGAAATAATGTAGTTTAAGAATTTATCATTGCCTTCCAGGCATATCAATATAAATGAACTGGGTACCCCAACACTTTCCTGTACTGTTACTGTTATTTTGCATGTGGGTTGATTATAACTGCTATTAAATAATCACATTCACAATGTATAACTTAAAAGTAGTTAAGGAACAGGTCATAAAATAATTCTTTCATTAAATTGTTTTTCAAAATCGACAACTATTAAGTGATTAACATTGAGCCAGCTGCATCTAATAGTGGTTGATTTCTAGGAGAGATACAGGATGCTTCTTTCAATTAATCAGCTCAAGCTATTGGGTCTTTTCTTACATTTTGTTTCATTACTTTTTATATTTAAGTTTCATTGATCATTTCTTATTAGATGAATCATTTTTATTATACTGAAATTGAAATGGTAGATAATAACTTGTCCTCTGAGTTAAGTGCAAATAATCTGATCTATGCTTTTGTCATCCTTCAACTTAATTGCTAGGCTAAAGGTTTCTGCTAGTTGGCAGGTTTAATAGTGAATGTCCTGCCAGCTCTCATTTTTCAGCACACTGCCTATGTTTTCAGCTCTGCAAAGTGAAAGGGTTGGTTTTTTAAATTAGTTTATGCTGAAAAAAAAATAAAAATCACAACTTCCTCTTGTCTGTTGCTGACTTCCTTCCTGACCCTTCAAAGCAAAATAATTTCCTTGTAAAACCTGATATAACCAACTGAATTTGGATGATTAGAAAATTTACTGAAGGAGTAAGACAACAGAAGAGCAAAAAATTCAATGGACTAATGAGAAAATTTTCACTTTTCTTTTAACAACCTGTTACTTTTTCATAAGTGATAGCTACTGAGGTACTTTTTTTTTTGTGAAATGTGACCCCCCACCCAAATATAAAAATTCTGTCATACTGCCACAGGGGAATAGTACCTGCCTAAGACCAAATCTCAATGCATCATATAGTTACCTTAAAGACTCATTAATATAAATGAGATGTAAAAATTATATTTATATATAACTCTTTAATTTTCATAAGTGTTCTAGTGCCATGGTGAATTTTTCTTGACTGGCTCAGACTGCACTTCCTCTATATTGATGGGTGATGTTACAAATCACCTGGTGCTGCCACGTTTCTCAGCAATAGAAATTACTGCCAGCAGACATCACAGTTATATTTGCCATGTATTCTTTATTCTTTCATGGCAAAATGAGAAACTTTTCCCCATGGCCACTTTTGTATCACTTTTCATTAAGAGAAAGATACTTACATTTGTTCTAATGTTCTTTTAAAATAATTGTTCTGGAATTGCAGCTTATGAACCAATTTCCAAATTCCAGTAAGTGTATGAGATGAACAGGTCTTTTTGAGGCCAAACCCATTTATCACATCAGTGGTTTAATACAAAATCCTTTAGTCTTCTGGCTGATCACTTAGTCTGCAAGAGGATGTGCTGATGGAAGCAGCAGAAGGAGAAGCTGAAATGTGGTCATGAAGCAAAGACATTTATATCACTATGCATGTCAGATATGTGGGGGGGTAGGGGGAAAGGTGCCATAATGTGTTTCTATAAATAGTGCGAAGAGTGGAATAATAGACACTACACTCCAATGCCCTGCTGACAGAAATTATATGGGAAGCTGGGACAGACGGTAACTTTTACATAAGATAGATTAACCAAGGGAGATAAGAATGAATTTTCATAAACTTAATGTTTCTCTCAAGGCATGAAAGAGAACTGGAAAATAACCAGTCTGCAGAAAGGAGAAATAGAAGTCACAAAGAGGTAATGAATGGAAGAGAATGCCACTTTTACTTTGAAAAACAGGAAAAAAAAAAATATTATTTAAATATTCAAGGCAGAGAAAGAATAAAAAAAATATTCTCCGAGTCTTAAACTGAATAGATTTCACCCAGATTACACAAATAATACTATATGATACCAAAGTTACAGGTTTTACATATTTAAAGTGGCAAAATAATCAGTCTCACCTCTGCACCTCATAAGATCATTGAACAGCTCCTCCTCAAAGACATGTCTAAACATGGGAGGCAGGGAGGTTTTCTGTAACAAAGTGGAGAGACTAACAGGATCAAGACTCTGAGTCTCTTTGTATTGCATAATTCTACAGACTCATGTCAGAAATCCCATACAACAAAAACATGGGTAAGCCTTTAGGTTGTGACAAGTAGTAATTAATGGTTTTTTTATTGCATCAGAGCTGGTTAAATAAGAAAAGGTGTGATTACATCCCCTGGAAATATATGGAATTTGACCTAACACTATTTCCATGTGGGTACTAAAGAGAATAGGCTAGACTAGAGGAATTTTCCATTATATTATCTTTGAAGAATGTTTTTTTTTCCTTTAATTCCTAGGATATTCTATACTTACTGCACTTACAGAAAGGACCTAGACCAACTTTTCAACACTATACTTGTAAAAACAATAGTAGCATTTGGCTTGCAAAGTTGTAATTTTTAATAAATAAAACCACAGGAATTCAGGCTTTATAAAACACACCCCAAAATCCATTTCTTGAACCAACATCTATGTCATTTTAATGTATTTAAACAACTTGTGAAACTTATTTTGAAAAGATTTCTCAAACCAAGAAAAGCATAACTAAAATCTGATCAAAAATTGAAATGCAGTTGAGTGACAAAATACTATACTCAGTATATATTCCACTGAAAGTAGAAGCTTTATGTAGCTCCAGCAAAGAGAGAGATACATTTACCTATGACATAGGTTTAAGGTCATATCCTACATTTCCCAACCCTCCTATAGAGTTGGGCTATATAGACACATGTCCAAAGAGATTTTAGAGACTATAAATAAAGCAAACAAATGGAAACACAATTCTTTATTATTAATTATGCTTTTATTA